AGGGAGGAAGGAAGGAAGAAAGAAAGAAAGAAAGAAAGAAAGAAAGAAAGAAAGAAAGAAAGAAAGAAAGAAGGAAAGAAGGCTGAGCAAGCCATGAGGAGCAGAACAAGCCAGTAAGCAGCATCCCTCCATGGCCTCTGCATCAGCTCCTGCCTCCAGGTTCCTGCCCTGTGTGAGTTCCAGTCCTGACTTCCTTTGGTGATGAACAGCAGTGTGGAAGTGTGAGCTGAATAAACCCTTTCCTCTCCGACTTGCGTTTTGGTCATGTTTCATTGTGGCAATAGAAACCCTAATAAAGGGCGTTAGGTTTCTGTTTTAGTTTGTTTTTGTTTTATTTTGTTTGGTTTTTAGGGTAGAAGTGTTTTGTTTTTGGCTTCTGATTCAAGGTTACAGCTCATTTTAACAGGACAGTTCATGGTGGCAGGAACTTAAAACAGCTAGTCACATCACAGGCACAGGCAGGAGCAGAACGACAAAGGTGCAAGCATGCTTGCTTGCTTGCCATCAGCTTTGTCAGCTTGACAGGGTCTTGAGTCACTTGGAAGAGCCTCAATAAGGGGCGTTCTAGAACAGGTCGGTTTGCCCGAAGGCCTGTTGATTAAGTCTTGATTATGTTCACTGACGTGGGAAGACACAACCTTAAAGTGGGCGGCACCATTCCCTCCGCTTGGGTCCTGGACTGAATAAAAGAGAAGGTATGTAGGGATTGCTTTCACTGATGTTGCTCGTTGTGAGTTTCTGTCACTGTGGGAGCTTGGACTCCATCGCACGGAATCTGCTGTGGCTCAAAGGGGCTAACTTGTGCTCACAGAGAGCAGAGCAGGTATTCACACCCACTCCTGTCCAGCGCTCTCACCTGTGCTCTATAACCCACACAGGCTTTCTGCCTCCTCCTCCTTCTGCAAAGTCATACAGGTTCCGACTGGACTGATAAAATCACTCACTCGGGAATAAGAGAATGTTCTCCTAACTGTGGGATACAGGCCATCACCAGGCCGAATCAGACAAAAGATTAGTAAGCAGCAATCTTTTCTCTTTGGTGGGTGCCACTGTAAGCACAGGTACTGACATTCACAGAAAGTCTTCTGCAGTGGGCAAGGTTGGTCTCTTTTAGTAGATTCTAAACAGGCAAAAACCGAAACTAAACCAAACGAAAGGAGTTCAATTTAAGATGCACTATGTTCGACTCACCATCACAAGGAAAAAGCGTGTGGTCATGAAGCTTAAATAATCAAACATAACGATGGATGCTATTCCAAAGAAGAACACTCCGATGCTCGTGCACCACAGGACCACTCGCCTTCCGAATCTAAAAAGGGAGGACAGTGGGAAACGCTGGGGTGGCTGCCATCGTTTAAGTAGCCTGTCCAGCTCACAAACGACAAATGGTGTCGACATTATGTATTTGATTTCAGGTATTCATGTATTTTGTACAAATCATGAGTTAACACACATCTTCAGGAGACCAGCCCTTCAGTGTGGAGGGCCCCTGGGCTACGCTACTAATATGCACACAGGGCAGCGGACCATCCCCTTAGGACTGAGGGGGAGGGAAGGCGGGATGCCCCTTCCTAGTCCTCTCCTCTGTTTGCTCATTTTCTCTGCTAGCAGGGACGCCACCAATCAAGGCAGTGACCGTTCTTGTTACTCCCCTCTAAAAATTGATCCCTGGGACCTGAGAGATGGCTCCCTGGCTAAGAGCACTGGCTGCTCTTGCAGAGACCGGATTCATTTCCCAGAACACACATGGTGGCTCACAGCTAGCTGTACCCTCGGTTTGAGGGGATCTGACACCCTGTTCTGGCCTCTATGGGCACGAGGTGTATACAAATTCATGCAGTCAAAACACTCACACACAAAGTAAAAATAAATAAATCTTTCCAAACTGACATCTTGCTACCTTCAACTCCTGAGCAGTATCATAATTGAAAGAGGGGCTTCTTTGGGGAAAACCAAATCAAATAACATTACTGCCGCCATTTTCATATGATTCAAATGCCTTAAGACAAGCCTTGCCAGCTGAACGCATTGGTGGCTCTTAGTAGATTCACAGGGTTGTGTAACCACAGTTGCTGTCATATTCTGAGACTATACATCAACTCCCTAGAAGAACAGACCTTAGGAGCACTATTCCCCACTCCCTGTCCTCGCTTCTGGAAACCACCAATCCATTTTCTCTCTCATTTGCCTGTTTAGGAAATTTCATATAATGGAATAAACAATATATGGCCTTTTGTCTGCCATCTTTCACTTAGCAGTGTGTTCTCATGGTTCACCTGTCATAGCATGACTCCTTTTTCATAGCTGAATAGTATTTCTCCGGGTTTTTTTTTTTTTTCAGTAAACACACACACAGCTTCTCTTAATGCCACTCTGAGCATTCGTAAACAGGATTTTGTGAGAACTTGTTTTCAACTCTCTTGGGTTTATTCACTCTGATTGATTTTTTTTTTTTTTTTTTTTTTGCCAGACTGTTATCCAAGATGGCTTCCCTGGTTTTACTACCTCACTAGCGATGAGAGTCACGGTTTCTCCACATCCTCACCAGAACCTTAGGGTTACCTGCAGCCATCCCAGTGACATGAACCACTATCTCACCATGGCCCCAAGTTACATTTTTCTAATGATTCATGGTGCTGAAAACCTTTTCAGGTGTCTGGTGGCAATCTGTACTTGTTATTAGAGAACTATGGATCCGTTGTATGCTTTTAAATTGATTTAGTTTTTATTTTATTTTATTTAGCTTTGACAATTACTGGAGGCTGATTTTGTTTTTTAATGTTGAATTTTAAGAGTTATCTATATTTTCCAAGTGCAGTGGCACATACCTTAAATCCCAGTAACTGGGAGGCAGAGGCATGTGGATCTTTGTGAGTTCAAAGCCAACTTAGTCTATATAATGAATTCTAGGACAGCCAGGGCTGTATAGGGAGACCATCTCTCACTACACTCACCCCAAAAGAGTTATGTATATTTTGCATACAAAATCCTTGACATATATATGATTTGAAAATATGCTTCCCCCTCCATGAGTGATCGTTGACAAATTATTTTAAGGAGACAGATATAAATATGGATGGATGTATTCTAGCCAGTAGGTTTACTTGGGACCAAAAAGGAAATACAAACACATAGTAGGGACTTGTCATGGAAAACTGTCATGGCCACATTCTTTGTCTTAATTTCTGTGACGAAAAACCATGACTAAAAAGCAAGCTGGGGAGGAAAGGGTTTATTTGGCTTTTGCTAATGTGAACCACATCACTGTTGACCACCAAAGGAAGTCAGGACAGGAACCCAAGCAGGGCAGGAACCTGGAGGCAGGAGCTGATGCAGAGGCCATGGGGGTGCTGCTCACTGGCTTGCTCCCAATGGTTTGCTCGATCTGCTTTCTTAGAGAACCCAAGACCACCTGCCCAGGGATGGCCCCGCCCACAATGGGCTGGGCCCTCCTACATCAATCACTAATTAAGAAAATGCCCTACAGCCAGATCTTATGGCGGCATCTTCCCTCCTTTCAGATGACTCTAGCTTGTGTCAAGTTAACATAAAACTAGCCAGGACAACTGACCCCTTGTCAACTTGACACACAAATACATTGCTAAGCCACAACCCTTCCTTTCTTGTTTATCCCCAAGATCTCACATAAATATGAACATCACAATACAAAATATTCCAATCTTTTAGAGAGTCCCACAGTCTTTAAAAATTCAGTCTCTTTAAAATCTAAAGCCCTTTAAAATTCCAAGTCTCTCGACTGTGGGAAGAACCAGGGCACAGTCACAGTCAAATCAAAGTGAAACCAAACTTGAACAATGTAAATGACACAAATGCCCAGTGACCTGGGACTCACTCTCAATCTTCCGGACTCCTCCAAGTACCTGGGGTCACTTCTCTGGCTCTTCCCTCTGCAACACAGTTTGTCTTCTGGCTCTGGCTGCCTCCATCCTGTTGCTCCTGCTGCTCTTGGTGGTCTTCCCATGGTACTGGCATCTCCGAAATGCTGAGGTCTTCTGCTACAACCAGGCTGCACTTTCATAGGCTCGCTTCATGGTGCCAAGCCTCAACTTCTGTGCATGACCCCTTCAGTCCTGGGCCATCAACTGTATCTGAGGCTGCACCTTCACCAGTGGCCTTCCATGGCCTCTCACAGTGCCAAGCTTCAGCTGCTCTTCATGACCCCTTCATGCCTTCAGAACCAGTACCACCAGGGTGACTCTTACACATTACCAAGTCCAGCTGCAGTACGAAGCACGACCTTGGCCACCTCTGGAACACAGCTTCTGTGCACTGACTCTCAAGAAACACTTCCCAGAAGATTTAACCTCAACAAAGCTGGCCTCTTCTTAACCACTGCTAAATTCTTAGACCCAGCTGACCAGCATCAAGATTCTCAGCAATGCCAAGGTTTCATTTTAGTGGTTCTAGTGTCTTGCTAATCACTCCAGCTAACCAGAACCACAGCATCTTAATTCAAAATAACAAACAGCCCAACACAGTCTTTATTTTTTTATTACCTTTATTTTTTTATAGTCCAGTCATTACCCCCCCCAAGTCTGCCCTCCAACAGTTCCTCATTTCATTCCTCCTCCCCACTATCTCCAAGAGAATGTCCCCCCATCCCAGTCAGGCCTCCCCACTCCCTTGGAACCTCAAGTCTCTCAAGGGTTAGGCTAGTCTTCCCCCACTGAATCCAGACCAGGCAGTCCTCTGCTGTATATGTATCAGGGCCTTGAACCAGCTAGTATACACTGCCTAGTTGGTGGCTCAGTGTCTGAGAGATCTCAGGAGTCCAGGTTAGCTGAGATTGCTGGTCTTCCTCTGTAGTCACCCCACCTCCTCAGCTTCTTCCAGCCTTTCCCTAATTCAATCACAGAGGTCCCCTACTTCAGTTCAACGGTTGGGTGTAAGTATCTGCATCTGTCTCAGTCAGCTATTGTTGGGCCTCTCAGAGGACAGCCAAGCTAGGCTCCTATCTGCAAGCACACCATAGCATCAGTAATAGTGTCAGGCCTTAGAGCCTCCCCTTGAGATGGATCCCAAGTTGGGCCTTTCCCTCAGCGTACAATTCTGAGTCAGCTTTTGACTGTGGGATGACAACCCCATCTCTTCATTTGATGACCTGTCTTTCTACTGGAGGTGGACTCTATAAGTTCCATTTCCCCACTGCAGGGCATTTCATCTAAGGTCCCTCCCTTTGAGTCCTGAGAGTCTCTCTCTTCCTAAGTCTCTAGTACTTTCTGGGAGCCCCCCTCCCACATCCAGGTTACATATTACCATTCATTCTGTTGGCCCTCAGGGCTTCTCTTCTGCAGCCCCCACCCCAGGTTGCATATTTCTATTCATTCTACTGGCCTCAGGACTTCTCTCATTTCTCTCCCACCATACCTGATCATGCTCTCCTTTCCCCTCCCCCTCCCCTCTCCCACCCAGGTCTCTCCCTCTCTCTGGCCCCTGTGATTGTTTTCTTCTCCCTCCCAAGTGAGACTGAAGCATCCTCACTTGGGCCCTTCTGCTTGTTAACCTTCTTGAGTTCTGTGGACTGTATCCTAAGCATTCTGTACTTTTTAAGCTAATAGCCACTTACTAGTGAGTACATACCATGCATGTCTTTTTGGGTCTGGGTTACCTCACTCAGGATGATATTTTCTAGATCCATCCATTTGCCTGCTAAATCCATGATTTCCTTGTTCTTAATAGCCGAATAGTATTCCATTGTGTGAATGAACCACATTTTCTGTATCCATTCTTCTGTTGTGGGACATCTGGGTTGTTTCCAGCTTCTGGCTATCACAAATAAAGCTGGTATGAACATAGTGGAATACGTGTTCTTGTGGTATGGTGGGGCATCTTTTGGGTATATGTCCAAGAGTGGTATAGGTCTTCAGGTAGATCTATGTCCAATTTTCTGAGGAACTTCTGGATTGGTTTCCAGAGTGGTTGTACCAGCTTGCAATCCCACCTGCAGAGGAGGAGTGTTCCTCTTTCTCCACTTCTTCACCAACATGTGCTGTCATCTGAGTTTTTGATCTTAGCCATTCTGACTGGTGTGAGGTGGAATCTCAGGGTTATTTTGCATTTCCCTGATGGCTAAGGACTTCGAACATTTATTTAAGTGCTTCTCAGATCAGCCTGCTTTCTTATTGTATCCAGGACCACATGCCCAAGGGTGACACCACTCACAATGGGCTGGGCTCTTCTGCGGTGATCAACTAAGAAAATGCCCAATAACCAGATCTTATGGAGGCCTTTCTCAATTGAGGCTCTCTCCACTCAGATAAGTCTGGCTTATGTTAAGTTGGCCTAGCCTGTCCTGCACAGTCTTCCTTAGGCTTCTCAGCTTCCACACACACCCGTGGGGCTGCTGAGCACACCCGTGGGTGCTCCCAACCCTGTCTGAGACATGAACAGTACCAGAGACTATTTTAGCTATTGCTGCCTCACCAATGTCTTCAATCTCTGCAGGAGAATAGCATCTCTGAATGACCACAGACCATCAAAGAGGGAGCCCCTCAGCTTCCTGTCCTGACCGCCTGTCTGCACAGCCTGCATCCTCCCATCTCCTCTAAGACCTTAATGTGCCTGGCTCTCTGTCTTCCCCCTTCTAGCTCCTTCCTTACAGCTTCAGCCTCATCCACCCTCAGTGACAACGTATCATGGACAAACGGGTCCTCAGCCATTCCGCATTTACTTCCTCCACAGATGTAACAAGTGGATGGCATGCATGCACACCTTCTACATGTCTGCATGTCTCCTGGCCCTAGCCACCTCTCTCCATACATCTCCATGGCTACAGGTGCTATTAATTGTGAATAGCCCACACTACACTATACTTTCCATAATCCAGGGATAATGCTAACTTGTTCAAAGTATCTGTTCAGTTAGAGTTCCCAGCTTGGCCCCTTCCCCCACATGGTCCAGCAAAGGCTTCCTCCAACCCCACACACTGAGAAAGCCTCCAAGTAGAAAAGGCAGCCAAAAAGGCCCAGTCTTGTGTTCCTGACACTCCTGACAAGTGTCACAACCCCCCTCTCCTGAAGTCACAAACACACACACACATACACACACAGAGTATATAAGAGGCTCCCACATCATAGTCTGCCTTCCACTTCTTCCAGTTTCATCCCAAGACTGGTGAACTTGCCCAGGAACACATTTCCAAATAAACCTGATTTGTTTTTACTTTTAATTTGGCTGAATTGGCTTATTTCTTCGGTGGAGAATACCTTTCAGTATCCAGACATGTACTTCTTTCTCTCCTAGTGTTTTCTGGAGTGTTTGCAACATCAGTCACTATCCAGGCTTCTAAACCTTATCACACACACACACACACACACACACACACGCATGCACACGCACACGCATGCACACACATGCACACACACGCACACACACGCACACACACGCACACGCAGAAGCATGACAATGTCCATGCTCCCTATACACTCTTCACTCTCTCGCATTAGTTTCAAAATGTCTCCCAGATGTGTCTTCATCCACTTTCCTGGCTTTCTGTCAACCCTGGATTGCTTATACCATAAACTTCAACTGGCCTTTCTCGCCTCAGGCCACTACACCACCCACACCCCTCAAGTGAAACCAGCCCCGGCCCTACTTCTGTATCTGGTCATTCGTTTCCTATCTCCAGCCTTCTTTCCTGACATTCCGACCTTCCTCGAGTCCACCAGACTCGAAGGAAGGAACTCGATTTGCTTTTCGCTGGCATCTTTTGTTCTGTGACCCAGGTTTCTGAGCATTTGGTATGCAGAGCAAAGCTATTTCAGCTCATTTACCTAGGGCTGGAAGTACGTTGAGTTTTGGCACTGAGCACTGAGCACGCTTCAACAAAAAAAATGCCTAGGTAATCATCTGTGCACCAATCTGCCAGATGAAAAGAGCACCTATGAGCATTGGTGATGATACAATACGTGATGGCCTGGCCACGACAAAGCCCTGCAGCTTCACTTCAGACATATTCCACAGCTGTCTCCTAGAGGCAAGGGTTTCTGATCTAAGCTTGCCGTCTCTGAGTTCCCAGTGCCCAAAACATGCTTGTAAAACTCACAGCGGTGAAGACTAGACACGTCCATCTCTCTGTTTTAGCAGAGGCACTCAAGAGTGGCCTGTGCCTACTCCAAGATAAAATGTGCTCTATTTTAGAGTTCTGCAGTTATTTTGATGTGAATGCTTAAAAATATGGCTGTTCTGTGATGTGTGTGATGGTTCGTGCTCAAAAACGAATGTTGAAATACAATCTTCAAAACGCCCAAGATGATCATGTCATGAGGACCCCCCCCAACGGAATTAAGCCCTTATAATAGGGCTCAAGATTGACAGAAGAATCCTCCAGCCCCACCCCCACCCTTTTCTGTGTAAGGACATTGCATTCATCTCTGGAGGACGCAGCAATAACACACCATCTTGGAATCAGAGAGCAGGCCTCGGCAGCTATGAGTCCTGCTGACCCCTCTCACCTAAGAGCACCTAGGTCTCAGGAGTGAAAAATAAATCCCTGTTGTGTGTAAGTATGTGGCATTCTTGCTATGGCAGCATAAAGAGACTGTGACAAGCCAGCTAGTCAGACTTTCATATTTATAGATACTATGGCCTAAGACCACCTGTTTTTAAAATCAAATCTATTTAAAGAAAAAAATATACAAATAATCATTATCCATCTAATGGCTATAAATCCAAAGTGGTTTCTTCTGTATTACTCTTTTCAAGAAGGCTTCAGGATGAATGCTTTTGTGGGGCATTAGCATTATTATAAATTAGCATTCTGAAACAGAAGAGTCTGTTTTCCCGGCAAGCACAGCTAATCGGCCGTAGAAGCAGCATCAAAGCCCAGGTGGGCTGCTCAGTCATCTTGCCACTGCATGCCTGACTGATGGGTCAGCAGGAGAGTACCCGTTAGATCGGAAGTAAGAAAATAACTGGGGCTTTGGACATAATGCTCTGCCCTCCAGGAAACCCAGACAGAAAGTTGAATCCTACACCATGCAACAGGGCTAAATAGTGTATTTTTACCTGTCAGAAAGGTAGCTAAAAGTAATTGCTCCCAGCAGCATGCCAAATATAAACAAGGGCTGGATAATGCTTGCATGCCATTTCTGAGCACAGACCAGGTTGAAATCTCTCACCACAGAATTCTTCCATGTGCTTTGATCATAGACATAGCCATCGGAGCAAGAACTGTCATGCTTGTGGCCACTGTACTCGTAGCCCAAATGTGATGTGTTCTCCCTCAAGGTCCTGCTACATCTAGTGAGCTCCCAGATCTCTCCATCCTGCAGCTCCACCATAATGTGATCTTTGTGCTCCGGAGACCGCAGAGCCAATATGTCCTCCAATCTCCAAGCAGATATGTTGTGGAAAACAGCCATCCGCACCATGCCTGGGGGCTTACACGCATGCTCAGGGATAATGGACATGAACACAGAAGACAGATAGTGGATACCACAAGAGATGCTCTGGTAGGCACATATAAGATACAGGACTATCTGGAACCTGAAACAAGAAGAAAGGGCCAATTACTATTTCTGGCCTATCGATGGAGAAAGGGCACTGGCAAATATGAAGAGTTTCCATCAGATTGACCTTAATACACTTATGTATTTACTTAGGTAAATACAGAAATAATTACAGGGGCTTCTATTTCGTGTGTGTGTGTATGTGTGTGTGTGTGTGTGTGTGTGTTTTCAAGTGCATTCACTAAGTTTTAGTTCCATATCCATCTCATTAAGTCATTCCAACATTACAAGTTTGCAAGCTAGTTCAAGTTTATTAAGAAAAAAAAAAAAAAAACTTTGCCCAGCAAGTAAGTCATCAGGAAGCCAATTTAACTTACTAAAACTTCATGTTTACTATTTTTTTCAAACCTGACATGAGAATATCTCTACTTTTCAACAAGCAGTTAGAGCACCAAGTGTCAGCATTTACCCTTGAAGGTAGTAAAACCAGCTCTCAGTCAGACCAGAAGTCAGCGGCAACTTTGCTCATTCTGCCAAATCCTTGACAGGAAAATATTCTGATGTCCTGGAACCCAAGCGACCTCTAGGCCTCTAACTGCAAAACACTGAGAGCTTGGCTGTTTGCTAGCAGGTAATTGGTCAAAGTTACAAGCAACACATACTAACAGCCTGGGAGATGCAGAATATGGTGGTGTGAAGGTTTTACTCAAAGAGCGTCAGTGTACCGTCAAGTGTGCGTCCTTTGGAGAAACGAAATCTCACCGAGAAAATGCCATCATTTTGGCCTGTAGGCGTGTCTACACTGAGTTTTCTCAATTTGACTGATGTGGGAGGGCCCCATCCACTGTAGGCAGTGCCATCCCTGGGCAGGTGTATCTTCCTATGTAGCTCAGGCTGGACCTTTTTGTCACCTTCCCAGAACTAGGACTACATATGTGAACCACTTCTAACCATAATATGTATTTCTACAGTTATTTGTAAACATCTAAGGAACACTACTAGCCTGATTTTTCAGATGGGTGGTAAATGAAACAGTCGAGCCCGTTACAGTTCATATGTGAGAGTGGATCCCTTCATCCCTGTTAGTCTTTGACCACACAGCCTCCATTTCCCAGTTATTCAAACAAGGATTCCAATGTGTCTTTTGCAGTGAGCATCAAACTGAGGGATGCGTTCATATGTTTGGTAGCTATATGAAAATAAAGGCTAACCATCGGCCGGGAAAACCTGCCAGGCCCAGGGGGAGAGTGTACTAGGGTGCATATAGGTATTCAATCTGGCACTGGAAAAGAACACGGTTGGGCTGGTAGTTTTTCTATACTCTGCTTTCCAATCGTATTTTTTTCACAGTTGTTGGTCTAGAGAGCACCCCAAGTCCCAACTGTCCAGAGAGGGGTGCGACTACTGCCTGCACCTGCCAAGTCCAGGCAGACTCCAGCGCCTCCTGTGGCCAGAGGCCAAAAGGACAAGCCAGGCCATGGGTTGTTGGCTAGACCTCTGCATGCATTGGACAAATACGGGATTGAGAAGTTGTGGAACCCATCCCAACCGACAGAAACAGACACCTCAGCGCCCCGATCACGTGCCACCCCACTATGGCTCCATGTCCTCTTCTGCCTCTCTACCTGCCGAAGTGTCCCACGTGGTCAAAAATCAGCTCCACGTTGCAGGACTCCATGTCCGGGTGGCAGAGCCGAGCGCCCTGGACTGCGAGCACGGCACCCCACCTGCCTCGCCCACCGCGCCCTGGGGTGTCCTGCCTGGGAAGGCCCCTCGCCTTCCTTCCCAGCAGCCCACGCGTCTCAGGGATGTCACGTGAGGCACATCCTGCTGCTCCATCGCCCGTGTGTCAACCCCTGCTGGGTGCTTTCCCACACCCTCCACGCTGTTCCCAGGATCCCACGATCCAGGAAGGCGTCAACACTTCTAGGAAGTTTAGGAATTGCAGAGCCCCTGGCTTGGTCTCGGGACTTCAAAAGCACCGGTCTTCAGCAGGACACGCCCTTGCTCCCTGAACTTTGATGCTTACGAATCCACCCAACGTGTGGTGGGTTTTAAGTACACATTTATTATTCCGCTCCCGGAGATTCAGACGTCCTGAAGTGGAATCGGAAATGATTTTGTTGTTGTTTCATGGAGCGGGTAGCTGAGCTAGCCTGGTCAAACCCAGGAGCTTCCTGCCTCTGCCTGCTGTGCCCACCCGCCATCCTCCAACTCTGGCCTCCATAGATACCCGCACTTAGGTGCACGAATTCAGATAGAGACATACATGATTTCGAAAGAAAAAGAACTTTGTCACGGTATATTTCTCTGCCTACCCCATGCTTACCTTCTTCAAACAGCACTTCTTTTAAAAATATACTTTTTATTCACTGAGAATTTTATATATGCATGCAATGTATTTTGATCATATTCATCCCCTTCTCCTCTAATTCCTCCAGGTTCACCTCCCCACACCCTCTAATTTGTCCAATTTAGTGTCCTCTTTAAAAAAAAAAAAAAAACACAAAAACATAAAACACTAGTCAAATTTGTGCTGCCCATGGGTAGTAGTCAGCCTACCAGGGGCCACACCTTAAAATTGCCCAGAAGTCAACAACTGTCGGGGCTCAGCACTGATGGACTCCCCCACTGCGTACGGGAATATTCACTAGCTTGATCTTACTCAGGGCTTGTACAGGAATCACAGCTGAGTTGCCGAGTGCGATGGTCTCGCCACGCCCAGAAGGCGCTGCTTTGGTAAGGTCTTCCCTGATCTCTGCCTCCCAGAATCTCTCCCTTTCTCCTCTCCTCTCTCCTCCACTTTCTCCCCTCCTGCCTCTCTCCTTTCCCCCCTCCCCCTCCCTCCCTCCCTCCCTCCCTCCCTCACTGCCTTCCTCTCCCTCCCTCTTCCTTCACACACTTCCT